GAAGGACATACTGAGTTCTGTCATGGCTGATATTCAGCCACTACTGGTTACATGAATGCCTGCCTGTCAATCCAAGATTATCCCAAATGGTGTCAGCGAAAATCTCCTTTTGATGTTTTCATCCATTCTGTAGACAGTTTAAGCATAACTAACTACTTGTTCATTATTCCATTAATTTGTTTCTTGTCTAATATCACCTTATTCAATTATTGTGGTTGTGTTTATGGCTATTGTTTTTCTTTATTCGAAAAAATTCTGAAATTCATTTTTTTTTAATCATACGAAACAAGCACCACTTCAGAATTCCTCTTCATAGGAAATCAATAAACACATTTACTTTTAAAAAACACTACAGATTTTCTCTTTTTTACCTAGACAGAATTTTCACATGAAGTTATTTATACTCAGATGCTGGGTTTGTAGAGATTTGATTAATTCGCGTGCGAATTTCTTCATGAATCAATGTCACAAACTAAGATTTACTGGGATGCTGATTCACTCGGGCTGAGGACACTTCAGCAGAATCTAGAACTCATAGGTCTGATGGTGAGTAAGCTCAACTAGTAAATTTAAAACCATGGGTTCGATACCTACTGCAGTCAGAAGTATGCACTGCCGTGCAATCCCACAACTGCAAGAAGCAGCAGCTCATTGCGCCGTGGTTTTCAGCGGCTATTCAACTGGTATAAGTTAGTGAGGAAATCTATACTAACATTATTTTTGTGTGTTTTTTATGTGCGCGCGCTTTTAACCACATAACAGTTACCCAGTTTGTTTTAATTATTCTTAATTAACTTGGTCATGTGAAAACTTGTGTGATATAATCTTAAGTTAATTTTTATACAACTGGCCGTCTTAACATGCGTTGCGTTCTGAGTGGAGTATAGAGCTGTAAGATTTCCTGAGGTCTTATGAGATATGGTGTTGTCTTCACTGGGTAAGGTTACTAGCCTTAAACCCAAACCTCCCTCTTTTCCTGGTTTACTGTTGGGTAGTAAACTAGGCGTGGCTTAGAAGTGCATCGGCTGGGAATTGTATCTGAACCGCATGCATCGTTGGTGTGTTTCCCATCACTGAACCAATTGTGCACACAGATAATGAAAAATGAATAGTTATTGATTTTGGTATTTGTTTGTGTTTATCAAAGAGATTAAACAATTAGTCGTTCACCTCTACTTCATGATATTTCATTTACACTTCATCCATGACTCTAAAGGCTTGCACATACTTTACTTCTACAGATGTCTGGATTATTATTTGACTGTGATGCTGTGTGCTAATGTAACTAAAACTGTTTATTTGATCGTTAAACCTGTACTGTGCTGATACCTATTAACTTAATAACTCCACAACGATAGAAAACAAGGGCCAGACGACAGATAGTTTATTGAGAAAGTCAAATGATATTTATCGATTTTTATGTACATTACTATTAGCCTTATTATTAGCAGAGACTCTTCTGATTGGTTGTTTTCTTGCTGAAGGTCATTCTGTACTGCTTGTGACCTTTTATCAGAAAGTTAAGCCATATCTGCTAATCGTATTTGCACGCACTAAGTCTGCCGTGATTGGTTGTTGAGTTCCTCAAGGTTAATCTTTGTTATTGTTTTTTTCTCCTGACCCTGATTCGGGACGTACATTGTTGTCTACAATATTGGCTAGCTGACAGCTATCCCCACAACTCCACTGTTGGTTGCTGATGGAAAACTATACCAAGCACTGAAGTTATCGAATAATACTTGATTTTTGATTTCCCAGAAAGTGACTGGATGTGAACCGCGTAGGTGGGCCACTATAAATCAACAGTAATTCGACTCAGTATAATGTCTAAGTGATCAATTGAACACTACTCCAGCACTACCGATTGGACAAAGAAAAGCAGAGTGAGTGGATAACATTTTATTCTAAATAGTCATCTTTTAGACACGATAAAATTATTTTATTCGATAAAACACAGTGATACAGTATTATTAAACTGATGCCGTCTCTAACACAGTCACCTCTAGGTTATTAATATTATTGTTCCCTTGGGTTCCGAGTGGAACATACGGCTTCAACAATACAATCTTCACATTTCTTTGGCTACCTGGGCAGTTTTATTATTATTATTATTACAGCTTGATTCCACACTGTATTTTTAGTACAAGTATGACATTTTCAGCATGGATATCGGTACCCCAAATTTTGCAGGCCGACCATAGATATCGGGTGTACGTCGGTAGGGGATCGAACCTCGGACCATGTGCTTGGTCGGCGAGAGTCCTAACCACTTTGCCACCGACGCACTTCTCAGCCTCGTACATTTTATGGACATTCTACGTCCCCATTCTCATTCTAGCTTTAATCGAGAGAAGACACATCGGCTGGCTAACTGGCTTCCCGAAGGCTTTCACCAGTCCGCTGTATCATTTCGCTTCTCCGATTCGAGCGGAGAATAGGATTTTTATTTGAAGTTTTGTATTTTCAATATAATTTCTGTGCATTGAAGTTTCCTCAGAGGTTTGATAGATTTAGCAGTGTAGTGTTCCTAGCCCTACGCTCAACCCTCACTCTTTATCCCGGGCTAGGGACCGGCTAGAAAACTAGCAAGCTAGTCAACCAGGCGAGGTTTACTTCTACGTGCTCATATAAATTCCAGATTTTGTTTATTTAGTTTTGTTATTTTTTATCATTTGCCTCTATTGTAAATAATATTTTCCATATCTTTGGTATCAATGCTGACTCACTCATGTTACAAGAGGTTGGTGTTGACTCGGTGAATATTTCTCTTCGCCTAACTACGTTATTTTCTTGAACTGTAACTCTGTACTGGGAACGTCATCAGTAAACGATACTATATCAAGGGTGTTTTATCAAATTGTATCATCCCATAATGGGATTCTACTCTAAAACTTTGTTCTTCTATCAATTTGTTAGACGTTGTAATCAGAGAATTTTATTGACCTGGTTATTGATTTTCTGTGTTAACAATTATAAATATTTTTTTATTATAGCTTGAAACCATACAGTATGGAATTTTAGTACATGATGTCGGTATCCCAAATTTTGCAGGCCACCCATTGATAATAGGTTTGCGCCGGCAGGGGGTCGAATCGCGGACCATGTGTATGGTCGGCGAGAGCCCTAACCGCTGCGCCACCGACATGATCACTAATGTTTCCAGGCTGTCTCTAATTATACACCTGTAATTCTTAAGCATCAAATTGTTTTTATTATTAACCGCAAAATATTCAGTTACTGATCATCTGTACTGAAATATATCAATTAGGATTCTACTGACTTGAAGGTAGAAATTTCAACGAGCTCTGATTATTCAAGAAACTACAGGAAAATCACCTTTCCAACGAGGTTTTGTGACAAATGGGCTAGTCTACAGCAACTGTGTTTTCAACTGACAAGTTTTTGAGTGAGTGGCAGGACCACAGCTTTTCCTTTAGACACAATCGACTGTTAAATAACTTGTAATGAGTTCTTGATGTTCATTTCTGACAAAAAAATTTCAATTCTCAATTTTTTTTAGAAGTCGGCATCCTTTTCTCTTCAGAAACTTTATCTGTTGTCTTTGAAGCAGTCTGTAGCGACATTTCGAATAATAATCACACTGATAATACAAACAAAATGTGGGCCACTTAATTTTTTTTATTATTTTTTTATTACAGCTTGATTCCACACCATATTTTTTGGTACAGGAATGGAATTTTCAGCATGTGATACCGGTAGCCTAAATTTTGCAGGCCGACCATATATATCAGGTGTGCGTCGGCAGGGGATCGAACCCCAGACCATGTGCATGGTCGGCGAGACTCCTAACCACTGTGCCACTGACGCACATCCTAGTTAAATCATGAAAACGCTGATGAGGACTTGAATAAACAGTCTGAAAATTAGTATATATCAAGGTCATGTCACTTCAAGTCAGAATTAACTAACTTCTTCCTGATGAATGAAAAAACACTTTTTCCGATAATTTCATAAAGCATGAATTAAAAACATTTAAAAAAAATATTTTTCCACCTAAAGAAACAAAGTCAGTAGCAAGGTAATGAATTTTCTAAACTTGAAATAAACGGGTGATATACATATATATGTTTATATATATAAGTATACATAAAAATAAGCCTCCCATGGCTGATTCATAACTTTGACAACCCACTGTTTTTTGACCGTTTGTTTTATCATGTACACATAGAAGTGGCGTGCTAGTAGCATAAACTAATTACTTCCTTTGTTAAATTGTATTTATGTGAATACCCCTAAGTCCCTAAATGCCCCAATTAACATACTTGCGTCTTTTTATACAAAAATACACTACATACGTGACTATTAGATTGTGTTTCATTTCCAGCACATACTGAAAAATACACAAATATACTTTTTGTTTTGTTTTTATTGCTACATCTATTTGGCTGCATGAATTGAGCCAAATTCCTATTTAATGACACAGATTGTTTCGTCCTTCACCTACTGCTACTACTACTACGACTACCACTACTTAAAATTATTGAAAAGTTACAAATCGGAAATATTTTTCACCGAATTTCTGGTGTTGTAAGATAAACAAACCCTTTTAGAGACTTGATAAAATCAGCCAATCATATTCATGTTGACCCATTATTTTGAATTCATATTTCAAATTAGCCAATAATTCCATAACCTTCAGATTTATTTGCGTGGGTGACTTTACCTAGCAAATTTTATTGGTTAGACTTTATTCATTGAAATTTCGAAAACCGGTCTAAATTGATAACAAGCATTAATTTCATTTAAAGTGTGGATGAGTTTCGGAAAGCACGCTTTGTCCGTCAACTGAGCAAAAAAATAAGTGAAGACCAATTATTGAGTGAACAGTGTTGCGAAAAACAAAAAACACCAACAGATCGTAATAACCAAGTACAGTTTCATTCCTCTGGGAACATTTCTCAGTAATAAACATCAAATTTACACAACACAACTTAAATTGTGCCTTAATCTGTGTAAATTATTGTGAATATGTTAATAAGCTTTCAATTGTTTGGATCGATGAAACTGAAAATATAACTCAACATCAGGAATTCCAAGCAGAAGATAACCGATCAGTACAAAAGCATTTATCAATCGAGAGTCAAGAACAATTTTGGTAAGAAACTATGTCCATTGTTATATATTTTTATACAAACATGTGTTGAATTTTTATTCCTCATACTTTTAATATTACTTTATTATTCAGTAGTAGTAGTATCGTTCACAAATGACAACTAATCAGTTAGTCATATTATTTGAATATTTTGGGAAAAAAGACTAAAACTATAGTTTCATAGGCTTCTAAAATATTTCAAAGATACCTGAAAAGATGTTAATTTTTATGAAAGTTGATGGTTTGCTAAACCCTTTTTTGTGAGTGACTAGAAAATTCTTCAATGATGCTGTTGATGATTAGGATTACATTCCCTTTGGTAAAATCTCAGTAGGAAGGTAGAATTGAACTTTCAGACTTGTAGTAGACGGACATGTAATTAAAAATAAAAGGTGCTCGTCATGGAGTTGTTTAGACATTTGACTCTACCGCAATAATCACTCACCTTAATCTGTTCAACAGACATGTGTGTGTGTCTTATGGCTTCACCGCAAGGCCTGGCTAACATCAATTTGTATAAATATCAACAAGTGAATAGAGAATATAAGGTCAGAGAAAATGATAACTATCCAGGATAAGCATCACATTTTATGTAAGTCCATAACTCTTGAAAAAATGAACAATGTCTAAAGGTACGTGAAATGAAATCCAGTGTACGTTCTAAATTTATGCATAGGAATTCAAAATCTCCCCCTTAGACACGCCTATTGGAGGAAATATTATTTGCATTACATACAGTGTATAATATGTATACATATGAGAATTAATTAACTGAGGTTTCCTCGGCCTCATGAGTACTCATCAGTGTGATTGACTAACTCCAGAATAAAGTTTAATTATGTAAACTATTCATTTTTGTTTGTTTACCAGGATTTCGTATTTTTCGTTTAGCTCATTAGCTCATCAGAAACAAGTTTCAATACTATCCAAGGAAAAAAATTAATTAGTACATATTATATATAATATATATATATCTATATCAAAACAATTTTTCATTAAAATTTTGATGAAATGATATCAGTGTGTAGAGAAATAATTAAAAACTGGGTTAGAAAGAAATAATCGTTAGTCGGTTTATACCTCGTTTGTTTGTCATGCTCTAAACGTATAAAGGTAAAAAGTCATATTGCTCCAACATAGTGTGTATTCTTAATCAGCAATCTCGGTAGGGGTGGTGTCGAACACACCACTGAATTTTGTTGAGAGGTAAATTATGAAAGTCACTGAAACACTTTTCTCAAGCCTAAGACATTCGCCCCTACACACACGTTAGTTACAATTAGTAGTCACTGTTGTTGGTAGGACTGAATTACCCGGATCATATGTTTCATGTGCCAGGCTAAGAACCACACTTACCGCATGAAAACTTACGATACCGCCCAGGCCGTCGTAGATGGGATAGGATTCGAGCCAGGGGGCTGACTGGCCGAAAGTTGGCTGCTTACGCTAGTTGGCCATTCATATGTTGAGTGATTTTCACCACAAAAATTTATTTCATTTTGTGTAAACAAAACACGTAGATCAGCGAAAAGTCTCTTTTCGGCGAATTCATTTTCTTAGCTGTACAATCGCAAATATATATGTGTTATTTTGTATGTATGTGTACATTAAGTTTGTCAAACAAAAATGCAACTGGTTATAGTTATTTAAACTAAACAGGTGAAGATTGGTAATTGGAATTACGTAATACAAAATCAGTCAAGAAAATTAGATATTAGTAAATTAGGGTAGTAACAAAGGTGATGAGTCTTCACAAACAGTTGTTAAAAGAAGTTACGTAATAATATGAATAGTTTGATGAGTGAGTTTTACTCAGGATGCACATAGGAACAAAGTAGATAATACGAAATTACGTAAGAGTTCTAAATGAATACAAGAATTATAAGCAATTAAAGAACATCATTTTCACTGGAACAATTTTTGGTCACTTAATGCATTTGACAGAGTGGGGATCTAGTGTTTGTTTACTTTTGGATAGGTCCCTTTAGGAGACGATTGATTTTTCCTCCCATAACATAACGTATAATTTCTTAAATTTAAGTGATTTCACGATGATTATAGTTGGGGAGAAGTTGAATAAGAAAGAAGTGTTGAGTAAGTGCACTGCTTTATTCTGTTTAGTTTCCAAAGTCAAAGTTATCATCAGATCCTCCACTTTCTGTTCCTCATTGTAAGACTCTACGGAACTCACTTATAACCTTATAATAATAATAATAAGTTCTAATAATGATTTTGACAATAGAATGTAATATAATCGTCAGTTTCAGTAATTCCTTATGTACTTATATTGATATCAGTGGTTTTATTCTATAAGATGACTGATTTCAGAAATATTTAGGAAAAATGGAAGGCACAAATAAACACTAAGGTGTTATGCAACCTATGATATCCAAATCTTTTCAAAGGAAAGATGAAATAGTCACTGAGGGTTTATTTAGTCATTTTTCTCAGCATAGTACATATGCATTTGGGTTGACTTCAAACCGTTAAAGCAACTAGTAGTTTTATTTTTTCTCAGCTGGATTGAAATGAGCTTCTAACGTCCCTAAAATACACAACTAAATATTACCACGAAATTCCTGAATAATGAACGTATGCGACATTAACCAGGTCTAACAGGACGAATTCGATTGGGAGAGTCCAACCCGTTATTTGCAGATGGTGATTTTGATCGGGTAGTTTTAAGTAATTCACTTGTCTGAAATGGGTCATTCCGAGTAAGTATGCCATTGATGCGCCCGACCACAAACCAGCCAAAAGACTGTCCTATGTTTGTTTTTTTTCCTCCACGTTCCCCAGTGGAACATAGGGCTTCAAGCTGGAGGCTTGAAGTTTCTGTAGCAGTGTTTATTTTACACGATGGGGTCGCTAGCCTCATGCCCAACCTTCTCTCTTTGCCAGCATTATTTCTGGCTCAGCAAGGTAAAGGAGTGCGTCGTCCTATGTTTAATTGAATTCAATCCGGCTAGCAGACTCTATACTATGTTGAAGTGGGTGGTTTCGAACTACTCATATTACTCAGTAGTATATACAGTTGTTATTTTACAGACCTTCAGAAAAAAAGAATGACAAGGAGAAAACAACTCCTTCCTAATAGTTGCTGAATGACACTTGCCTTCATTTCAGCATAATCTACAGTCTAGTACCATCGGCAGGAATTGATTGGTGTGTATTTTAGCATAAATTTTCCTTTCGAAAGAAATATCAGCTTACGTATGTCTGTTTGCTCGTGGTATACACATGTGTGTGTGCGTGTGTTTGCTTATAAAAACAAAAAGACACGTGTTCGTGCTAATTATTCTGAGAGATTTGTTATTTCACGTTGTCTTGTCTTCCCTTTTTCTTTCGGAATTCTCCCCTTTTTTCAGATAGATTATTTTTATGTTTTGATAAGCTATATATACACGTCTGTTGTGTATATATACACACTGGGCATCACTTAAATTAAAGAGAATTAATCCAAAAATCATGTTTCCTTTTGGCATATTAATTGAAGTGGAAAGAACTCCATAGGCAGAATGATTCATCCGTTATATCAGGATTGAGTAAAAAACAAAGATTTCAGATGTAACTTCTAAAAAGTTAATTACAACACCGTTCGTTAGGTAGTAACAGCAATTATGATGATTATTACTACTGAATTTGATTAGATTATGATGAAAAGAGGATGCGTCACTGTCCCTTTCAATATTCTATGCTAAATTTTGTGTTTCTAATAGTTCACAGAGTGTGGTCTGCTAGGTTTAAGCATTCATTCCCTTAAGGGATTTTTATCCTATTTTATATGATGCTGCTTAATTACTAAGATAACTGTTAGCCTTCATTGATTAGCTAACAAAGTCAAGTCGATGGAAAATCTAGTCTCCAGCTTGGCAACAGTACGTGCGCAAGGAGTAAAGTTAGGCGGAAAGAATACAACTGTGGAACCACAGCTGTTGAGACAATGATTTTACACTTACACAACACTGGTTCAGAATCTAGCAGCCATACATATACACCTGTGTATTATATGCATATGAGATTTGAAGACAGTGGTGGGCTGGGTGGCCGAGGGTGACGTGGAGATTATCATGTTAAGAAGAAATAGTGGTTTGTGGGTAGTTATTATAGCCTGCTGGAAATGACGGTATAGGATGGCGATGTAACGCCAAAACGCTGTGCTCCACTTAGGATGCAGTGAATGAATAGTAACAATAATCGTATTATGCACACGTTAAGAAAGCTAGAACTGTACTGTGTGCTTACAGTAGCATAGAATGAACTTGTGAGAAGAATGGTCATTATGGTTAATCCCTTTTGAAAAAATACATATAGAATATCTGCCATCATAGAGTAAGACTATTTGATAAAATCACACTGTTATACAATATTCTATCAGTATAGAACCACATATTACTCCAGACAGGATAGCGGGTTGTATTAAAGATCGTTATTCACTAATCAAATGGGAAAATCTAAATTTAAGAAAACAAAATCATTGGACTCTTTTAGCCTTTGTTTATCACACACATTAACTTGATTGTTTCATTTATGTCCATAAATTATATAAGTACCACTACTCCTCTAGTACTTCTACGTTTGGCTTAAATAATCAACACAATTCAATTGTTCAAGTGTTTATTATTGGCTAATTTATCGATAGTTATTTGTTTATCTGCATTAGTTATATATATGTATATATATATATATATACATATATATATATAGATTTTCTCACGAGCTGATATCAGTTAGAGAAGAATTAGAAACCAGGGAGCACTGAACAACTGTTTCATCCTAGTTTGAGACTATTTGGCAGTTTGTGTCAAAAGATCAAATCCTGGATCTACAGTTGTGAAGGCATGCAGCTACTGCATTGAGGTCTGATGACCCATGAATTCTGAATCCTTAAACTAGGACTATTTCTATATTGTTTTCCGTGGGTTTTAACACATCTTTATTGATTCGTGTCCGGATTCGTTTTGAACTAAGTTAAATCTTAGTATTCAGGTCATTCTTATTAT